GGGTCAGCCCAGTGAAAGGCAAACGCCCTACCCGCTGCAGTAGTATCAAAAAATTCCTGCCTGAGATCTAAAACAAAAAGTCAAATTCTGCAACCATCATAATACTGCTTTAAATTGTAACCTGTCAGTAACGATTTCAATCTCTAACCTGTAAAATGGACTTAACTGAATGAATCTCCAAAAATACAAAAAAAGATATCATGACAATACATGTTTAAATAATTCGAATTACATAAAGATGTATGAAAAATAATTCAGATGACAGATGGCAAGAAATCAGATGTTGAAATGGGAGGTGAAGATGTGAAAAGGAAAAAAAAAAAGCAATGATTCCTATCTCAGCACCCCCAGAAATCGCCCTCTCAAAAGTGTCAAGAAGGCTTCTGCCTTCCCCAGGAGCATTCTGATGTCCCCCCCCTCCCTCCCCCCTCCCCCCCCACCCCCCCTCCCCCTGGCAAGGTATCACACTTTGGAAAACACTTCAATAGAAGAACCTGAAAAAGTGAGTACCCAGGAAAAGAAATCCACCTCTGTCACTATAAAAAAAATATGATGGGGTTGGAGCAATGCCTTGCACAGGGCTGACCAGGGTTGGACCCCCAGGATCTCATATGGTCCCCGGAGCTTGCCACGAGACATTTCTGAGTGCAGAGCCAGTAGGAAACCCTGATAGCATCACTGACTGCAACCCCTTCCCCCCCCCCCCCCAAATTTTGCTAAACCACACATTCACAACAGTAACTGGACCTGAGTTATAGGTAAGGTAAAGGTAAAGGCCCTCCCGTTGATCATCGATTTGCTCGAGCGGGCCCAGTAACGTCTCCATTGGAGACTTTGTTGTTACTGTGTCTGGCATATCCAATACTCTCGGTAGCTTGCCGGGCTCTCCGAGAGGGGTGGAGGAATCGAACTCGGGTCAGCCATGTTGGCCGCGTGCAAGGCAGACGCCCTACCCGCTGTGCTATCGCTCCAGCCCTGAGTTATAAACACATAATTAAAAACTCAAGTTACACAAATTTTATCACTAAAATCTAACATTTCAATGGATGAAGTCATCAACACATTCACATAATAAAGTTCATGGTTTTTTTTCATGGTTCCATTGGCAGAAAAGGCTTCTATTTCTCTATCTAGGTTTATATGCCAGGACTCTAGAACTCAATACATTTTCCACTGGAATATGTATAAATCAATTACTAATATTTTGGCTTTAGAAAAATGAGGCTGCAATAAGGTTTCCCAATGACATTCAGAAAAATGGACACACTGACTCTAACTTAACATGCATATCTCATAAAGCTCCAAGGGTGAGCAGAGCAAGGAGAAAAGTCCCAAAACACCAGGGCGTCTTTGCACTAACCATACCTCTGATGTCAGGCTAATAATTTAAGCATGTATTTATCTAGGAAATTTGCTTTTAACTGAATCACTATGAGCTACAGTTACAAAGTTTTCCATGATTGGGTTTCAGTCATGCAATGTTCCAATACCCATCCTTTCACCAGTGCCACCATATCTAGAACATTTTTATAGCCTTAAAGTGAGTTTGTCAACAGCAAAAAACCAAACGGGGGGTTGGAGGAGAAGTGATGAGAAGGAAACTGGGGACACTGGTGCTGGGAAATGCACACTGGTGGAGGGATGGGTGTTGGAAGACTGCATGGCTGAAACCAAATCATGAACAGCTTTGTACTGATCTGTCTCACAGTGAATCGATAATAATATCTTTTTAAAAATGGATATACAAGTGCCTATACATACCTAATGAACCATCGGGAAACGTTTACTCTTTGTTGCATGGTTAGGTTACTATGTGAGAGAAGCCATTTTTCATCCTTACTACTACCTATAGGTACTTTCATTATCCTCACACTTTTACAGTTGAGGAAACCTAGGAATTCAGTGGCAAAATAATTAGGCAGAGTTCATGTTTCTAAGAGTCTAAGGGACAAATTTAATCTCTCGATTTGAACTTTAATAGAAATTGTATTTTTATATTTAACATCTGTAATTCTACCTCTGCTCCTCTTAAGAGATTAAAATCCATTTTAACATAACAAAAGCTACATATTTACTGAAAATAATCTTTCCTGTAAATTACCTTAAGATATAAGAACCCTTAGAATTCTAAACATCTTGTAAGCAATTAGTTTTATTTTTATTTATCCTTCTGGGTTTGGGGGCCACGCTTGGTGGTAGTCAGGGCTTACTCCTGGCCCTGGTGCTCACCTAGTATCAGGGATTGAACTCGGTCAACTATGTACAAGGCAAGGTCCGTCACCCCTGTACTATCTCTCTGGCCCCTAGTTTTAATTTTTTAATCACTGTCACTGTCCTTCCGTTGTTCATCGATTTGCTCGAGCGGGCCCAGTAACATCTCCATTTTGAGACTTGTTGTTACTGTGTTTGCCATACCGAATACATCATGGGTAGCTTGCCAGGCTTTGCCATTCGGTCGAGATACTCTTGGTAGCTTGCAGGGCTCTCCACGAGGGGCGGAGGAATTGAACCCAGCTCAGCTGGGCTGGCTGTGCACAGAATACTAGCCTACTCAGTTCACTTGATATATTCATCTTGAGGACAGTTTGTATCCAATGAGTAGAATATATAAGCACTTATATTAACAACACAACATATCTGTGCTTAAGTTTTTCAATCAATGCTCATTCAGGTTTACATCAGTTCACTTATAAAAGTGATCAATTCAAATTCCTCTATCCTTAAAGAAATCCGATCACAAATAATCCAAAACACTTACAGTCCGTACTAATGTTTTAGAAATAAACAATGTGAATGTGAGAAAGCAGAAAAAAAATCCTGGACTAGCGGCCAGAGTCCTGCCCATTTATTCTGGCTCCTTCACCCAGTAGCAAACCCGTCCCTTTCTCTGCTCTAGACCTTGGTTTCCTGATCTTCAGAATAATCTCCGTGATCTCCTCTTCCAGCTCTAAAATATGTGACTCACACACATACATCTTTTTCCCAAGTGTCCCAATTCTCATTCTGGTTAGTTATTACTATTACTTAGCAGCCATTACGCATTATTTTCCCTTAGTTCTATAAAAGGAGAAAACCAGAACTATTTAAACAAAGGCCACAGGGAAAAGCTATCCCGACCTCTGTTTTGCTATGATTCTCAAGGTGATTAATACAGAAGTTGTTATAATACGCAAAGGTGTTAGGTTTCAATATTTTAGGCTGCTGTGTGCCAGTACATTCTACCTAAGGACAAACAGTAAAATCCAAGGACAAGAGGGAGGGGGAAATAGAATTATCCCGTAGTTATTCAAGAACTAAGAAGGTATTGATAGATTATTAACCTATTCAAGTGAGTAGGTTAATACTTTCTTGCAGAAACATTTTCTCTGATCTATTACGTTAAGGGGCAAAAATATATCCGCAAAATTTTCTAACAAATACTCCCTTAAAATAAAGCAAGTTTTCATTCTGAAAATTGTTAGTAAGATACGCATGCATAAAATTTTTAAAAATATTTAAATATTTAAGGATAAAGATGTAGTTGTGCAGTTCTTCGCTTCCTCCAAGAGACGATGACTCTCCAGGGACTGCCAGAGAGATGGATTTGGTCCACCACCACTGCCTAACCCTGGGACGCCTTTCCTATGTTCCCGGCCCATTCTCCAGCCTATTATGCAAATAACACCATTAAAATTAAACTCAGCATCTGACATCAAAATTGCCAACTGGGAAAGAAAAACCTCAGTCAGACTTTCGAATTGCTTTCTTGAGCAATAACCACTGTTTCCAGTTTAACACTTCAAGTTAAAACAGCTTAAAACTTCTATAGAATTTGTCTTAACTTGGCATGACCTTGTAAAGAAACAATTGCCAAGGAAAGCCAGCGCGTGAACCCCTTATTAATCTTGCAAAACAATTTTCCGCAGCAAACTGTAAGAGTATAGATCAGTCTAAGGACTGAATTAGAAAGAGCCCCGGCTCTCCACGGGGGGGCTGGAGGGGAGAGGCAGATGGCTGGGCGCGCTGCAACAATCACTTCAAGGTGCACGGCAGAATTCCCAGCAAAGCTCCTAACGGGTCAAACACCATCCAACACCTACGTAACACTTGAAAACTAAATAAATAAAATAAGGGATAACCGTCACGGCCCAGCAGCGAGCCACCTTTGGGTTGGACCACCGACGGGAAATGAGAAGGAGGGGAAAAAAAGGAAAAGTCCTAAATCAAGCAATCCATCACCTGGGAACTTAATCCTCTTGGGCTTCCCAAGTTCAGAACCAAACTGAGAGGTGTCATTTCCTCGCACCCTTCCTCCTCCCAGCGCAACTTCCTCTCCGGAACCGACCCACTGCGCCCGGTCCAGCGGCGAGACCCGCGCCCGGCTCCGAGGGGGCGCCCGGAAGGCAGCGGCCGGCGCATCCCCGCCGGCCCCGGACAGGGATGCTGCAGCCGCATCCCCCATCGGGGCTCGGGTCCCCGGGTCGCCCGGCGGCGACCTCCTCCCACCCGCCTCGCGCGACCCCCGGGGCCGAGCGTCGGCGCACCGCGCGCCCCCTCCCCTGCACCGTGCGCGCCCGCCCCCCGCCCCGACCGCCAGCTGCGAGCCCCGGGCGAGCCCCGCTCCGGGGTCCGCGCTCCCGCAGAGGCCACCTCTCCTGACCGTCAGCGTTGCTCTTTTTTGAGCAAACGCATCGGAAGCCCGCCGCGGGCAGCCCCCACGCCCCCTGCCCGCCCGCCCGCGGGGCCGGGGGGACACTCACCGCCCGCGCGGCCGACCAGGGCACCTGCGGCCGGGCTGGAGGGGCCCGCGCGGCGCAGTCCCCGCCGGCGAGTCGGCCCGTCCTCTCGGGCGCCGCGGCCAGCGCCGTCCCGCTTCCTCCGGACTGGGCCGGGGGACCCCAGCTCGGCCGGATGCCCCCGCCAGGCCCCCACCCCCTTCCCCCCGCCCCCAGCCCCCGGCGAGTGGAAAATACCTCCCGGGGCGGGGGGCGCCGGGCACGCCTCCCTGAAGGGCAGCCTACCGTGACCAATGGCAGGCGGGGCCTGCGGGGGGCGGGCTTCCCGCCGGCCAATCCGGAGGCGCGTCGGGCGAGGCCGGAGGAGGGCGGCCGGGAGCGAGCCGGGGGCGGCCCGGGAGTCCGGGAGGTCCGGCCGCTCGCGAGCGCGCCGGGCGCGGCCGCCATGTTGGAGTCGGGCAGCGGCGAAGGGGCGGGGCGGGGCGGCCGCAGCCAGTCAGGCCGGAGAGAGGCGGTCACGTGCGTCGGGAGGCGGGGCCAAGCGGGCCGCGGCCCGAGGGGAGGGCTTGGCCGCGGCGAGTCACGGGGGCGAGGGCGAGTCACGTGGGGCCGAAAGGGCCCGGTGGGCTCGGGGGAGGAAGGTCAGCCGGAGGTGGGGCGGGGGAGGTGCCATTGTCCCTCGGTTGGGGGGGAAGGGGGCGGGGAGAGCATGAATGGGGAGTGTGGCTCCTGGCTAGGAAAATGTGAATGAGTCCCGCTGCTCCGGCGCGCGGCCGCCGGGCACGGAGTCCAGGGTCCCCGGGAAACTGGGCAGCGCGTTTGCTCCGAGGGTCCAGGGCTGCTCGTTCCTGCTGCCTACGTGTCACCACACGTGCCTCGGCGAGATGGGGGAGTCCTTCCCTCCCGGGCCCCCGCCGTGGCAAGCTCCTTCCCGAAGGCCTTGGGGGAACCTGTCGTCATTCACAAATCCTGGGACCCAAGACCGGTCCGGCGCCTCCAGGCGCAAGGGATCCTATCTAGCCCACATCTGGGTGGCGGCCCAGGCTGGACCGGCAGTGCTCAGCCGGAGGCCTCTGGCCCAGCCCCATAGTCCGAGGGGGCCACCCGTGGGAGTCGTGTGAGTCAGCGCTGGGTGGGGAGGTTGGGGCGAAGGGCGCAGGTCGGGAGGGAACGCCGAGCTAAGTTAGAGCCCCTTGGAGTCCCGGGAAGGGGCTTTCAAAGCCGTGGCGTTCAGGGGACTGTTGAGGGCTTGCCTTGGTGGGTTTTGTCGTCGTTTTTGTTCTCCGTTGCAGTTGGTCGGGTAGACTACGTCCTTCAGACTTTCTCTTCCCAAAACCTCATCCCTGGGGCTGGAGCTATAGCACAGCGGGTAGGGAGTTTGCCTTGCACTCGGCCGACCCAGGTTCAATCCCCGGCATCCCATATGGTCCCCCGAGCACCGTCAGGAGTCATTCCTGAGTGCAGAGCCAGGAGTAACCCCTGGGCATCTCTGGCTGGGACCCAAAAAGCAAAAAACAAACAAACAAAACCCTCATCCCTGTTCCCTAAGACCATAAACCCTCTGGTGCCAGTTCCCTTCTATTAATCTTTCTAAATGCGTTTTCCGGGGGCAAGTCTCAGAATCTGCTCCTCACCCCTCTCTCCGGTAGGTATGTAATCGTCCTATGCACCGGATAACTTGAAATGTTGATGACTGAATGTTTGACTTTATGAGATGTAGTTCTGAACAAATAAATGCTTTGGACATCCTCTCTTGAGCCTCCTCGTGACCTAAGCAAATTGAAACTCAGGTAGTGCAAAACCTGATTCTTCTTGTCTTACTTTCTTTTTTGTTCTTTGCTTTTGTTTGTTTTGGGACCACACCCAGCTGTGCTCAAGGCTTACTCCTGGCTCTGCTCTGGAATCACTCCTGGTAGGGGTGGGGGGGGGCCATATATGATGCCCTGAGTTGAACTTGTGTCTGCCTTGCAAGGCGTGCAAGTACACCCTCTCCACTGTACTGTCCCCTCCCGCAACCCCTTCTCCCTTGGCTCACTCAAGTCAAAATCCTCATGACAGCCTCAAGGCTGTTCCTACCTCCCCCTTCAACATTGTCCTGTTTACTTTTTACTAAATGCTTTTTCCTCCCCAAGTCCACAGTCCTGGGCCATTCATTGGCCATTAATCCAATATTTACTGAGAACCATGCACCGGATATTGTTTGAAATGCCCAGGATGAAGTGGTAAACAAAACTGACAAGTTTCCTGTGTTGGGTGAGACAAAGGCCGTGTGAGTAAATTAGTGAATAAGCAACAGTATTCAGGTTAAGACCAAAATAAAACAGAAAACTTCTAAGACCCTCTTAGAGCATCAGTCCCCCACTCTTTTTATCCTTAAAGAAGAGATGACCCTGGTCCTTTCACCTGGAACTTGCTTTTATTTTCCAGGACTTCCCTCCGCTTTGGACTCCAAATCCCCAAGTAGGGAGACTTCAACAGAGCCCTGAGCTTGCATGCATAAACCTGAGTTCAAATCTCGCACATGATTATCCTCCTCGTCAAAAATCATCATCGTCTAGATCCTCTGCTCTCTACTAGAATCACAACTACTTTGAAACCAGGGATCATAAGGTGTAAAACTTTGGGCCTCAATAGCACCTTGGCTCAGAATCAGTGCTTCGCAAAATGAGTGTTCAATGAACAGAATCCCCCCAATACCTGACACTGCTGTCAAGCACCCCAACTGAAATCAGGAAGCAAAAGCAATGTGGTAGAGTGTGGTGGCAATGATGCCATGTGGCAGGGGACAGGGTAGATATGAATGAGATCACTAGGCACTTGGATTCCATGCAGTTGTGCCTCATGGGTGGCATTCGCTGCTCCATAAACTACTTCCGTGACCGTGCCAAGTGCATGTGAACAGTTTAAAAGGACTATGTCTCATGATGAGCTTCACACTCGGAAAACTCTGGATGGATTTCCAGGACGACAAGCCCTGCAGGAGAAGGTTGGAGTTGCCACTTCACTTTGATTTTCCAGGCCTTTGGGCATTGCTCCCCAGCAGGGAGAGAGATGTTGCCAGTTCCGTCATAGTCATTGTAATTAAATCCAAGTTCTGGCAAAGGGCAATACATAATTATGAAGTATTATTATGGTTTTTATCATTATTAGGCACCCAGCTGCCCAGCCTAGGAAACCACAGTAGTAAAACACTGAGAAGCCAAGCGCTTCTACCCGCTGGCCTGAATCAATACCAGGTGTATTGGCACAGTTTTGCAGTGCCACTCATCCACACAAGACTTTCTGTCCCCTCTCTCTGGCAAGATGAAACTTTAAGTAAATGGAAAGAGAAAATGTAAAGGAAGACCTTTGCCACTGCCTCGGAACTGAATTTTTTTTTATTCCATCTCGCCAAAATGATCTTTTTCTTGTCTTGTATTTATTGTGAAAATCTTTTTCAATTTCATCCTTGACCAATCAACTTCCTAAACAGATCTCCTTCCCCTTGTCTCTGCAGATGGATTCTACCGGGTGAGATAACAGAGCACAGGAAAGAGTACTTTTCCTTTCAGGGCACTTATGGTATAGACTAAATAATTCAGAATGTATCATCCGGCTCAACAAGAAATCCGCCTTTTATTGAACACTCACTCAATGCCCTGTTTGGCATTTTCACTTTCTGGGACTTGTTTGTTTGGGTTTGGTTTTTTCCTTGACTTTTCATAATCCACATTTCTCTTTAAGATAGGGTTTATCATCCTTTTTTTTTTCAAGGTCAGAAAATCTGGAACTGAGATTCTCACATAAATAAATAAATGTGGTGATTGTCTCTTCAGTAATTATGTCCATGCTGGCAAATGACTATAGGTCTCAAAGTTCATCACTATCAAATACAACATTTTGGGGTTCAAAGTATATTTTAAACTGAGCTTTGAAACGACGATGGAGAAGTGATGCCGAGGGAATGGTGCCAAGTGAGTAGGCCAAGTTGGCCATAAGCCTAAAATCTATCAATAAGGAAAGACTTTGTGTTCAGCAATGAGTCATATTATATTCTTCAAGTACCTTTATTGTCTCAGATATATCATATGCAAAAGTCAACCAAGGTGGTACAAAGGTGGGCTAAGGGTGGAAGGGGACCGTTTGGGTATGGAATCCATTTTTGAATGGAGAACGCCCAAATGGTCAATGAACTGGCACATCTTAATCTGGCTTCTGGAACCACTGAAACCATGGCATCACTTTCCTGCTACAAATTACTTGTTTTTATCTATGTGAGTAGGAAAATTTCCCATTCTCAAGAACTGAGTAGGTAAAGTAGGTAACAGGTAAAGTAGGTATATTTAGTAGGTAAAGTAGGTGATATACCTCATAATCTTTCAGCGTCTGTATTGCCCAGAAGGGGTGGGGGATGGAGAGAGAGAGAGAGAGAGGGAAAGAGAGAGAGAAAGAGAGAGAGAAGAAAAACACCTGCCATGCCATAGAGGCGGGCTGTGTGTGTGTGTGTGTGTGTATGTGTGTGTGTGTGGGGGGGTGGTAGGGAGGTTGATGGAAGGGAAACTGGGGACACTAGTGCTGATAAATGTACACTGGTGGAGGGATGGGTGTTGGAATATTGTATGACTGAAACCTAATTGTCAACAGCTTTGTAAGGGTCTAGCTCATGGTGATTCAATAAAACAATTCAAAGAAAAAGAAAAATTTCCTATTTCTAACCCCCACTAAAACAGTTAAAATTAGTAACAATTTATTTAGCACTCACCTTTTATATAAGTTGATTTTCAGTTTTTTAAGGTATTTAAAAAATACCTCGCCGGGGTCCCTTGGAGGGGAGCGGGTCCCTTGGAGGGGAGCGGGTTGAGCTTTCCTCCCTGCCCCATGCCAGGGCTCCGGCAGCGGAAGACCTCCAGGACCAGCCACCACCATGCCGAGACCACTCTCCGCACACATGAAGGTACTGGCAGAGGGACAAAGCCACGCGGGGTCTGGGGCCAAGATCTCCAAGCCTACTCGGATTGGAATTGAGCATCCTCCACCCAGATCCTCCAAATTCCAGTAGGCGGGGGTCACACCCACCACCTGGCCCCCTGGCGCCGTGTAATCCCGTCAGCGGCCAAGACTCAGAGACTATAAAATCCAGCTCCCGGAACCGCGCGGCCGCATTTGCGGCCGCGCAACATCTTATCAAAACATCTTTTTATGACATCTTATTATCTCATTCCTACTTTGGACAAACTTGCAGGCTATCGAATGTAGCCTGCCCACACGGCAGAGTCTGGCAAACTCCCCGTGGCGTACCAAATATACCAAATACCAGTAACAATGATGGGTCTCATTCTCCTAAAGAGCCTTGAATATAATCTCAGGGCTAGGATGAAAGAGACGTTACTGGGGCCTGCTCGAGGCAATCGACGAATAACAGGATGATGAATGAATGAAGAAAAGGTATTTAAGATTCAGGGCTAGAGCGATAA